AAACTCAAAACATGGATGCCACAAAAGAGTACAACCTATCTAATTCCATTTACATGAAATTCAAGAACAGGGAAATCAGAACAGTGGTATTCTGAGAGGGGGATACATTGGCTGGAAAGGGGTACAGGGAACTGTCTGGGGGTGATGAAAACACTGTATATATTGCCTGTGGTGGTGCTGACATGATTATGTACAAGAGCCAAAAACTCATTGAACTGTAATAGCTGTGTATTTTATCATATGTAAACTCAGTTAAAAAAAAAAAAAATCACTTAACTATGTCTCTCCAACTCTATCCTTTAGCTAAACTTTTTGAAAGAATTCATTGTCTCCATTTCCTTACCTACATTCATTCTTCACCCTCCTCTAATTTGGCTTCCTCCTTATCACTCTGCCAAAGTATTGCTGACTAAGGTCATTTCCATGTTAAATCCAGCAAATATTTTTCAGTTCTCATAGAACTTGACCTCTGAACAGTATTCAATATGTTGACCACTCCTTTTGAAATACTGGAATGCTTCAAGGCTCAGTTCTAGGCCTTTGCTTCTTTTCTCCTCTCACTCTGTCTTCCAGGCCAACATCAACACAGACTTCTCTAAGTCTTGATATCTCTGGGATTTCTCAGGAGGAGAAGTTTAAAATAACTTCAAACTTAACGTGTTCCTAAACAACTCTTCTTCCCCAACCTATTCCAGGGTTTCTTATTTCAGTGAATGGCACTACCTATTTAGTTCTGACAACTAGAAATCAAAACCTCCCTTAAGCTTCCCTTTCCCACGATCTCACATACAGTCCATCACCAAGCCTTAGTGATTTCACTCCCCAAACGTATTCTTTGATCTTGGTTTCTCTCCATTTCTACCACCATCACTTCAGTCCAAGCCTCATCACCATCTCTCACATACAGTCTATCACCAAGCCTTAGTGATTTCACTCCCCAAATGTATTCTTTGATCTTGGTTTCTCTCCATTTCTACCACCATCACTTCAGTCCAAGCCCCATCACCATCTCTCACATACAGTCTATCACCAAGCCTTAGTGATTTCACTCCCCAAACGTATTCTTTGATCTTGGTTTCTCTCCATTTCTACCACCGTCACTTCAGTCCAAGCCCCATCACCGTCTCTCACACAGCTACTGGTAACCAGTCTACACGCATCCACCTCACCCCCTTCCAACGGACTCTCCACATTACAAACAGAAGTACCTGCCAAATGCATATCTCATCATGGCATATTCTCCCTCCACCCCACCTTTCCCAAAATAACCCTACAGAGGCCTTCCATTGCTCTTTATCCAAATCCAAAATCCTTAACGTGGCCTAAAGGACCTAGACAGTTTGACCTTTACCTACGTTTGAAGCCTCACTGTGCCCACTCCCTTCACATCCACCCTCGCCTTTCATTGCCACGGAGCCTATCCTCTGGCACTTAACTCCTAAATATTATTCAGATCTTAGCTTAGAATTGTTTTTTAAAAAACACTGACATGGTGACTGCTTTTATTATCTGTTCAAAGTACCATGTGCCCGCCTTCATAGCATTTATCCCAAGTGTGCTGCAATTCTGTTTGATGGATCATCTAGATAATACCCAACTTCTCCACTCCACCATGAGCTGCATGAGAGCAAGAACCATGTCAATCTTTTTATCATCTCCGTTCTCTCCGGCCTTTGTAAAGCTCTGGCAGGTACATACTAACCCGTTGCAATCGAGTTGATTCTGACTCACAGCAACCCTACGGGACAGAGGACAATGGCCCCCAGGCTTTCCAAGGCTGGGATCTTTACGGAAGGGGACTGCCACATCTTTCTCCCCTGGAGCCGCTGGTGACAGATCCTCATAAATATTTCTAAATGAATTAATGAAGAATTAGAAATTAGCTGCTCCTAAATGAAGTAATGTGGATTTCAGTGCCATCTTTTAAAAGGGCCTCAAGCAACTGTCTGATCAAGTGCCTTGTTTTCAAGTAGAATTCCAGCTAAGCCATCACACTGAGCTGCCTTTCCTCACTCCTTCCCTCAGAGTGTTGCAGAGGCAATCACTGCACGCCAGGTACTAAGGACAGGGCAGTGAGGGAGAAGTCAGGGCCCCTGTCCTCATGTAATACCTGGTTTACACTGATGGACTCTTCCAGGTACTAAAGACAGGGCAGTGAGGGAGAAGTCAGGGCCCCTGTCCTCATGCACCTGGTTTACGGTGATGGACTTTTCATTTTCAAAAGCTACTCTAAAGCCAAATTCTTGTTTCCTAACCCTTGTGGAGATTAAATTTATCATTATTGTGCAATAAATCTTTAACTTTCTAATAACTATGAGGCATTTTGTTCTATTTTATGGAAGCCTTACTATTTCCTTGCCACATTTTTCTTGAAGCTATAGACCTAAATAATTTTAACTGCCAATTTAACTAAATTTATATGTTTAATTTAACATACGTCAAAATGAGGAGCTAGGCACAAAGAATTAAAATGTAAAATATATACCTGATCACAAAACTTATATACAGATTAGACGCCAAGGAAAAAATTACTGCATATCTCAGAAACTTCTCTCAAAGATAAAAGTTAGAAATCGGCCAAAGAATTGAAAAATCGAAAGCTTATGACACAGCTACGTATTTTGTTAGGAATCTGAAATAAGTTACTTGTAAGAGTTCTGGTCTCAAAATGTCTAGTTGATAGCAAACAATAAGCACACTATATAGCAAAATTAGGAGCCCTGGTTGCGCAGTGGTTAGAGCACTTGGCTGCTAACCAGAAAGTCGGTGGTTTGAAACCACCAGCAGCTCCGCAGGAGAAAGAGGTGGCAGTCTGCTTCTGTAAAGGATACAGCCTAGGAAACCTCATAGGGCAGTTCTGCCCTGTCCTATAGGGTCGCTATGAGTCAGAATCAACAGCATGGGGAAAAATGCAAAATGATTATCCTATCTGTGTTTAAGTTAATCACCCATAATGCAGACCTGCTGTCAGAAGTTGTGTCCTGATTACACCTAAGTTGCTCTTACAGTGTTGATGGTTTTCTACTAGATTGTTCACATATGAAGTCCTTATCACTTGACTCTGTGAGATGGCTAGCTGGGATTAGGCGTGTAATCTGCTACCATGGAAACCAGTTTTTCTTTCTCCCTTCCTATGTGCGTGCTGATGTAGAGATCAAATCTACAGCCGGAACTAGAATTCGGAACTCCTGATGTACATGGGTACACTTCATTTTATGTTTTTCAAAATCTCTTTAAAATGTACCAAATTGGAAATAGCATTCTAATAACATGCTAATTATTGGCAAGTTTGTAAAGATTGCTTTACTTTGTACTTTGTTCCTTTGGAAACTTCTAATAATAAATGCTAGTCATCATGCCATTATGGATGACCTTGAACATGAAAACAGCCTGATAATACAACATAAAATATCTCACAGATGATATCCTAAGCTGAAGGACCTCTTAATGTACATATTTGCCTCTGTTAAATATTTTGGAGGACTTATCAAGGTCAGTTCAGTTCTAGTCCTATTAAGTGTTACTGATTTAATCCAAAATGCATCATCCATGTATGTAGTGAGGGTAGCTCCTAATTTCGTTATTGAATTATTAAATATTGGTACGAAGAGAGGGATTACAGTAGCATATCATTAAATGCCCTTCACGCTAACACAGAACCAAAAGGAAATAATAGCCAACATTTACAGAGTGTGCACACAGCTTTCACACACATTGATTGGTGAGCCTTCACTTATTCAACAGACATTCACGAAGCTGAGTGCCAATTACTGGCTGCCAATTCTATGACAAGCTTTGACTAGATACTGGGGATGCAATGGTGAACCTTACAATAACTCTATAGCAGTGGTTATCAAAGTGTAATCTCAGAACCAGCAGCCTCAACACCACCTGAGAACTAGTGAAAACTGCAAATTCTCAGGCCTCACCCAAGAACTGAACCAGACCCTGTGCGGTGGATAGGGCCCACAGTCTTTTTTAACAAGGCCTCCAGGTGATTGTGATGCATGCTCAAGTCTGAGAACCACTGTGCTGTAAAACAGCCCCTCACTTTCTATATTAGGAAATTGAGGCTCCAAGAGGGGTATAACAGACTTGAAGACACAGACAGTTTTTCTGCACCACCTAGCCCCAGAACTTAGAGAAATGTCTGGCATATAGTGTAGCCAGTTGGTATTGAGTTTATTCAGGTTCATGGCAATCCCATGTGTCACAGGAGAACTGTGCTCCGCAGGGTTTACTCTGGGTGGATTCAAACTGCCAAACCTTCCTCCATTAGTAGCCAAGCTGAGTGCTTAACAGTTTGTGCCACCCAGGGACTGCTGACGTATAGTATTTAAAAAAAACAAAACAAAAAACTTGACTTTGAGTCAATTCTGACTCAAAGTGACCCTACAGGACAGAGCAGAACTGCCTCAGAGGGTTTCCAAGGCTGTAATCTTTATGGAAGCAGACTGCCACATCTTTCTCCCATGGAGCGGCTTTTGGGTTCAAACCACCAACCTTTTAGTTAGCAGCTGAGCGCTTAACCACTGTGCCACGAGGGCTCCTCCAGCATATAGTATAGACACCCGTTGCTGTCAGGTTGATTCCAACTCATAGTGATCCTACAGGACAGAACAGAACTGCGCCATAGGGTTTCCAAGGAGCAGCTGGTAGGTTTGAACTGCCGACCTTTAGATTAGCAGCCAAGCTCTTAACCTCCGCTCCACCAGGGCTCCGGTGTATAGTACAAGCACCCAATAAAGATTTGTTGAATGAAGAAATGAGTGAATCCTCCAAAGAGCTGTGCTGTCACTCAGCTATGGCAAAAGACCAAGGAAGAGAATCCTAACTTGTTTAACATATATATAATGATAACGGATGTTATTTCTTCTGAAAAGAGAAATGTTTACTGTGACACCAAGAATTATAATTTTAAAACTGTTATTTTTGACTCTCGCTCAAAAGAGGAAGTTCTCAAAGGTGAGCACTTTCAAAACTATTCAGTTTTTCCCCACCTTGTTATTCTGCCTTAATTTACTTAACTCCAGCTTATACTTTTCTGCTTCCTCTAGCGCTCTGTTCAGGCGGACTTCTGTTGCACTTTGATTGCTGGCAGCCTGTTTCTGTAGTCTTCGTTTATTTTCTAATTCCTGATTGTAAAAAAGACACAGGACGCTTATAAGTATCAGTCCCCTTTTTATTATTTTTCAACATTTTCCATTTCCATATTCCTTGCTTTCTCTCAAATCTCTTGTTTCAGAGACTGAGCAGGTAGCACCTGTACAGACAGGCTGGAGGTAGCACTAAGTGCTAGAGATCTCAAGTTCTCACCCCAGATTGGTACGAGGAAGACATATCCTAAAAGACGGAGTCATGAATGAGGCTTTCAGGTTACTTTTTATCTGGAGTTTTCTGACTCCTTTTACAGACCTAAGATGCAGTACACATCTCCTTTAGATTTAGTTTATAAGCAACTTCTTATCATTGTACTTCTTCCTTTGGGAACTTCCCAAAACACCTCTGTAAGACACCAGTAAGCTCTCTCATGAAGGCTGTTTTTGAGTCGACCTGCTAATGGATATTATTTAAGAAAACTTTCACTAACTACAGCGCATTCTACGTTAGCCTTCTCTAAAATCTCAATTCTGAGCAGGAGTAATAGATCTCATGCATGACTTTCCACGCCTGGGATGAGTTTAAACCTACATTTTTAATAAAGATCCTAGGAGATAACTCTTGCAGAGTCTGCAGGCCACACCTGGAGAGACAGAAACCCCCGAATTCCACCACAGTCTACCACCTGCCGACCAGCCTCATCTCCAGCCACAGCTGTCAGCCTTCAGCAACACCGGCAGTCCTCACAGCTCTCCCCAACAGCCACCAGTCCCTTCCTCTGAGCCTGTGTTCCTGCTCTTCCTGTTGCACTGCTCCCTCCCCACTCCTCACTTTTACCTGGCTAGCACAGGGTCACTGGGATTTGGAGCCGCAACTAACAACCACGACAGGACCCACTCATCCTTTAAGACTCAGGGCTGTACACTAGGGCTCCGGCTTCCCCAGGAAGCCCTCCCTATCTAATACTTGCTATCCTCCCAGACTGGATTAGGTGTCCTTTCTTCAGAGCTTCTACCATACCTTGATACTCATACATCATTGTACCTTCTGTGTGGTATTAAAACTATGAATTTACTTCAACTCCACCACTGCAGTGTAAGCTCCTTGGGGACAGGGACTGTCTTAGTCTCTGTATTCCCAGCACTTTAGTGGCATCTAAGAGGCAATAATGACATGTTTATTGAACTGAAGTTATTCTGTAGCACTTAACCAATTCTTTGCATTCCCTATAATGCCTAGTAAATCTGTTGCCGTCCAGTTGATTCTGACTCATAGCTACCCTGTAGGACAGAATAGAAATGCCCCACAGTTTCCAAGGAGTGGCTGGTGGATTCAAACTGCCAACCTTTTGGTTAGCAGCCGTGCTCTTAACCACTGTGCCACCAGGGCTCCAGAGTGCCTAGTGCAGGGCCTTAAATGATGTGGAACTGCAGTGATGCAATTAAGAACACAGTTGCCTGGATTCTTCTTTTTATAATTTTCTCCTAGTGTTATCACTACGTTTTATTTGAAAACTGATCTCCCTAGCTCTGAGTAATTAAGGGGAGAAACAAAGCAAAACAAAACAAAACACAGGCTGCTCTTTACGTAGGTTTCTAAACAAATCCAACTGTGTATGGAAACCATCTGCTGTCACCAGCCCTCTTCACAGCTTTGTGGGTGGTAGCTACACTAAGAGCAAGCCTGATGGATCTCACTGTTCCCATCAGAAAGGCACAGATTCTCATTAGCTACAAAGTCCACAGTCCTTGCTGCTTCGTTTCTGCCTCCTCTCACAGGAGGATGGAAATGAATGGTCTTTGCCCTTCCCTTTCCACTGCTGACTTTGTAAACTGCTTCACAGAAAAATGGAAACTGTCTTTACCGCATGATGTCCCTGAATCAATACTCCCCTCTTGGGAGAAGTGAAATAAAAGGATAGCCAGAAGAACAGTACAGTTCTACATGAGTAAATCCACTAAAGAAAGAGAAATCCTTATCAGAAAACCTGAAAACATTTGTTTTCAATCACTCCCTCTCTAGCACCTTTTAAAAAGTTCAGATAAGATACAATATTGTTATGAAAACTTGCATCCTGAAAATAAGATCAATAAAGTAAATCTGTTGTTCTTAAAAAAATTAAGCAGTTTACGTGCTGCTAGACAAAAATTTTATGAAAAATTTCAAGCCCTGAATTTTACATTGGTTTTAAAAGAAAAAGCTGAATAGCTGAAAGAAAATAAAATCTAAATTTAAAACTCAAATACTGTGAGATTTGAGAGGAAATAATTGACAATTCTCTCATAATTATTAAGGCATTCGTTCCTAAAAGGCACTGGGGACAGGGTCAAGCGGAGGAGAGGGGATATGAAAATGAAGAAAGTGCAGCCCCTCGCTTCAAGGTGCCTTCAATCTAGCAGAAAAGAAGGAGCAAATATGTCAAATACATAGAACACTTGAACAACACTATCAACAAACTTGACCTAGTATTACAGGACACTCCACTCAGCACAGCATAATACACGTTCTTCTCTAGTGCACATGAAGTATCCACTAAGACAGGCCCAAATACCAAAGTCTTCTGGTCCGTAAAATGAAAAGAGTGCAATCATGAAGAGTAGGTCCCTTGCCACAACAGAATTAAATTAGAAATCAATTATTTAGAAATTAAAACAATACACTTCTAAATAACCCATGGATCAAAAAAGAAATCAGGAGGGAAATTAGAAAATATTTTGAACTAATGAAAATGAAGGCGCCCTGGTGGCACAGTGGTTAAAGCGATTGACTGCTAACCAAAAGGTCTGCAGTTTTAAACCAGCAGCAGCTCTGTGGGAGAAAGATGTGGCAGTCTGCTTAGGTACAGAAGCCTCAGAAACCCTCTGGGGTCGCTATGAGTCAGAATCGACTTGACAACAGTGGGTTTGGTTTTGGTTTGGAATGAAAATGAAGCAACATCAAACATCTGCAACATTGCTGCAGATAAAGTGATGCTTAGAGGAAATTTATAACTTTAGATGCTTATATTAGAAAAGAAAAGTAGACCATCCATTATGTAAGCTTCCACCTTAAAAATACTGAAAAATAAGAGCAAATTAAAGCCAAATAAGAAGAAAGGAAGTGATAAAGGGCAGAAATCAGTGAAATAGGGCACAAACAATAGAGAAAAATCAGTGAAGTCAAATGCTGATTCATTGAAAAGTCCAGTCCACTTGATAAGCCTCTAGCTAGACTGCTTAAGAGAGGACACAAATGATCAATGTCAGAAATTAAAGGGTCATCATTTCAGATCATACAGGCATTACAGACATAAGGAGGAATATTAGGGACAAATCAATGCCAATAAATTTGAAAACTTAGATGAAATGGACAAATTTTTCTAAAAACACAGATTACTGATTCAAAAAGTAATAGAAAATTAGAATAGACTTATATCTATTAAATAAATTGAATTGCTGATTAACATACTTCCAAAAAGAAAACTCCAGGTCCACCTGGTTTCAGCGACATATTACATCAAATATATACATCAATGGACATATAGATCAGTGTTACAGAATGAAGTCCAGAAACGGACCCATACAAATATAGTGAACTGATTTTCTACAAAAGTGTCACAGTAACTAAATCGGGGAAACAATAGTATTTTCAACAAATGGTACTGGATATCTTTATGGAAAAAAATGAACTTTGACTCTTTTCTCAAGCTATCCACAAAATTAATTTGAACACATCATTGACTTAAACATAAAGACTAACACTACAAGCTTTCTAAAAGAAAGCTTAGGAGAAAATGCTTATGACCTTGGAGTGGACAAAGATTTCTATGGTAGGATGAAAAAGCACAAGCCAAAAAAAATAACATACTGAAATTCATCAAAATTTAAAACTGCTGCCTTTGAAACACTGTTAAAACATTTAAAAGGGCAAGTCAGATTGGAAGTTTTCAGTAAATATTACTAAAGTAACTGAACAGCCCCAAATGTGGTGTCTATAGAAATGTGTGACTTTAATAGTTTTAGTATATGTTTTGCATTAAGTTAAGAAAAAATAAAATCATTACCCTTTCTACTGAAGACAGCTGTTGCTGTAATCCATCACACTTTCGGTTTGCTTCTTCGGAAAGAGCTTTATATTTTTCTATCTGAGACTGCTGCGTGTTAATTGTACGCCGCTGCCACATACAATCTTCTTCAAAACTTCTTACCTGGGACTTTAAATCCTGAATTTCGTCCTCCTGTAGTTATGAAGGAACAGAGCAGTTGATGTGAAAAAATGCACAAGGTTTGTTATCAAAACATAAGGCTGAGAAAAAAAAAGGAGCTTCACATGATCTTTCATGAGATAGTTACACTTATTTCATGAAGAAAAATAAATTACACTCCATTTTAATCTTCAAAAGTCTAATATAAAGAATTCTAATTGCTAACAAGTACTTAAAATTCTTCAGCCCCGTGAAATTCAACATCTCAGAATAAAGTTCGATATTTATATACAATTTTTGAATTCAAAACTTGATTTAACTGCTATATCTCAATAAAGCTGTTTTTAAAACTGTAAGTGAAATTATTCCTAAAATGTCTTTGAATGTGAGAGCATTTCTTTTGCAAGGTTTTAAAAACTTACCTTTTTATTGCATTCACACACAACATTATCCAGTTCCTCCTGCATAACGCGGAGTTTAGCCTTTAGAAATCTCATCTGAGCTTCTGTGGATTTAAATCATTCTGTTTACTGTCTTATACTGAACCTAAGATGCAACAACTGTAAGACAGACTGTTATTTTATGAGAAAACAAAGCGCTCAAGATGCAGAATCTAACTAGAGATCCCTGTGTAAGGCTGGGACACGAAAGAGCAGGACCCACAGATAAACGAGAAAGAACAGTAAGGAAATGTTCACTTCTCAACATTGGAACTGAGTCATGGTGGGTGGGGAGACTAAAAACCTCTCCTTAGACTATGAACCACAAGCCAGTACTCCTATAAGTTTACAGACAGAATTCATACTTACCAGAGTAGTCCAAAATACCTCAAACAGAATTTAAAGTGGTCTCAGGTCCCCAAGTGTTTGGCAGAAACAAACATAAATCCTTTCTGGCAAAGCAACTTCAATCCCGGCCCATGTGATTATAAAATGCCACTGACTGTAACATGCATGCCAATTTCAGAGAAGCTAAGATTTACGGGATGTGTCTTAGAATCAAGGAAATACTCTACAATACCTTACTGCTGAATCCTTCTCCTACAAACCCTCATTAAGCTTTATCTTTGGTATTTCACTGCTAGCAAAGCTTCTTTATTCCCAAATATCAGCAGTAAATCTTTGAGGTTTATAATTTATAGCCCCATAAAAGTAAATAAAGTAAAAACTAAACTTAGAACCCACTCATACTCATTCAATCATTCCTTAAATATATATATATATATATATATATATATACATATACTGAGTCCCTACTAGGTTTTAGGCATAGTAAGAATATTACAGACAAGCCTTGCCCTCAGGAAGCTTGTTTTGAGGAAACACTCTGAACTGCCTCTGAAAAACTCCCGCTAAGTCACATGCCTGCGATATGCACAACACAAAGCATCTCCATTCAGAGGCCTGTTTCAAAGCTGTTCTTATTAACTGCCCCCCACCCCGCCACCCCATGTTACCATGGAGCTGACTGAGGATGGCTGGCTCTAACCCCACCTAGATCTCTCTGGCCTCAAGGCTCTCCTTCCAGTCTCCCGGGTAACTCCAGGTGAGCAGCGGAAAGTGAGGGAAATTAACACTGCAGTAGTTGGCCTCTGGGGAAAAAGGGGCAGAGAGGCGATTCAGCAGTAAGGGAAATGAGAGACAGGGAGCCGTTTCTCCTGGCTCCCCATTTCTGGGAGCAGGTACATTTGCAATTGGGCGGTGAGTGGGTGTCTGCTGAGAAGAGCCAGGGTCTGACCATCGTCCCTGAAGGCAACTTCCTGCTCCACTGACCTCCCCCCACAACCAGCCCTGGAAAGCTTGGTTAGGTGAATAGATACAATACATGGGTGAGAGAGGTGCTCTCCATTCATGAGTAACTAGTATGCAGCACAAAGGAGACCTGGTGGCGCAATGGTCACAGCGCCTGGCTAGTAACTAAAAGGTCAGTGGTTCAAACCCACCAGCCACTTGGCAGGAGAAAAGACCTGGTGATCTGCTCCTGTAAAGACTACAACCTAGGAAACCCTATGGGGCAGTTCTGCTCTGTCACGTGGGGTCGCTGTGAGTCGGAATCAACTCAGTGGCAGGCAGCAACAGCAGCATGCAGTACAATAATCATTACACATGTAATTTTCCACAGAATCGGAGAATTTGAGAGAGATTTTATGATCATCTAATACAAACTACTAAATTTTCAAATGAAGAAATTGCTATTAGAGGGGCTAATGGTTGGCCTGCAGTTGTAATTAATTGTATTACAGTACAGCATTACACTATGTTTATATGTACTTGTCATATTTTTGTTTATATTGCATAGGTGGCTCCTCAGAAATACAACAATTTCAGAGGAATTACTGGTAATTAATGTAATGTTTTTAGGTCGCCATGAGTCGGACTCGACTCAATGCCAACCAACAACAACAAACTTAGTATTATTATTATTTGTAATATGTAGAATACAAGTTTATACAGAGGGAACGTGATATTCATTAGAAAATTCATTTTATTATTTTAACCTGATGCTATATGGATAATTCATACGTCCTTTTATACGTGTTGATTTAAATGCAATAAATCAAATATACCCCCAAATCCTGTTGCCACTGAGTTGATTCTGAGTGATAGCGACTCTGCAGGACAGAGTACAACTGTCCCATAGGGTTTCCAAGGCTGTAACCTTTATGGAAGCAGACTGCCACATCTTTCCCCTGCAGAGCGGCTGGTGGATTACATTAAGTGAAAGAAATTCTGAGAAACATGTCTTTTTAATACTGTTTTAATGTTCTAACAATTAGCCATGGGGCATTTTCATTTTAGTTGAAAAGTATTCAATGAAACAAATACACTAACTTTTTATTTTTTATAATGGAAAATATCAAACATATACAAAACTAGAGAGACTACTACAATGAATCCCCGCTGACCCATCACCACCTTCAATAATTATTGTCTCACAGACAGTTTTATTTCATCTGTAATTCGATTCATTCCTCCCATCACCATTTCCCACTAGATTATTTTAAAACAAATCCAAGACATCACGATACATTTTTAAATACAAGAAAATTTTTTTTTTTTGCAAAGATCTCTTTTTCTAAGTAATTGTTCTATAAGGATAAAAATAACAAATGAAAGGAAACTTACCTGTTCCAATGTCTTTACTAACACCAGAGAAAATATCATCATCTATATATTCAGATAAGCCTTTTTCGTCCAGTTGCTCTTCAATTTTGCTAATTGTTTTCGCAAGAGAAAAGTCTGAGAAATTCTCTGGAATGGCAACATCATCGGCAGTTTGTACATCAGAGTATTTCAACTTTACCCTAAAAATACATACATAATATAGAAAGGAGATATGGTTTTTACCCAAATAACAAAGCAGATCAAAATTACTATAAATTTTAAATTATGATGAAATCTACAATTGATACTTTCAAGGACTGTATTACAAGAGACTTGGTAGACTTTCAAGCTTCATAAATCACATAGTCATGGAGCTGGAGAAGGCTTTACCAGGCCCGCTGGCCTGGACCTTGTCTCCAAACAGGTGGAGATCAAAACCCAGAGTACTGAACTTGACCTCCTAGATCATATCCATCCTGTGGCTTTTAATTTCCCATGTTCCTAGAGAAGAACTGAACAAACTGTTGTTGCTCTAGTCAGAATTCTACAAACTCCAAAGAAAAATTCCTTGTGAGAAAGAACTACAGAACGAACAGTTACCAGCCCAAAGTCAACCTCAACATTTTTTCTTCTGCCTAAAGAAATACATTCTAACCAGGATTGAAGCTGACCAAAAAGTTGGATTTGATTTTTTTTTAAGGGGGTAGGGAAAGAAATATGAAATACAAGTCACTTCTGCAAGCACTGAGGAATGGGCCAGGCTGTCATCAACAAGTCTGTGGTTCTTAAAGCCTAACTTACCTTTAACACAGAAGTGAAGGCGTCAGAATTCCATTTGGAGAAACAAACTTAAACTCTGAAAATAAGAACCCTTTCTAATTATGAAACTACTAAGTATCAGATGTTCTTTTCTTCTATCAATCCATGTTCTTTTCCCTTTTCTCTTCCTTATTCCCTTCAATTTTTTTTTATTCTAAAACAAATTAAAAATTATTTAGCCAAATAAATGGCACAAGAATTAATATTTTCAAGAATTACAATGCAATTATCAGGACCCCTTTTATGCTTACAATCCTAAGGACGTTCTTGGATTCTCTCACCAAAAAGAATAGTGTGAATTATCATCATAGGATAGTCTTATTTAGAGCATACTCGGTCTCTCAATGCTGTCTCTCAATATACAGGCTGTCCCGGGTTATGAACGTCTGACTTACAACCTGTAGTTAAGAACTGTAAAGTGTCTTATATTAAAAATTTGGGGTCCATACAATGGTTTGTAATAACAAATGGGCGCTACTTTGCAACACGCATCAAAACATTGTCATCGTTGTTGTTGTTGTTGTTGTCATTGTTGGGTGCCATCACGTCGGTTCCGACTCACAGCGACCCCACGTACAACAGAACGAAACACTGCCCAGTCCTGCGCCATCCTCACGATCCTTGTCATGCTTGAGCCCGTTGTTGCAGCCACTGTGTCAGTCCAGCTCATTAAGGGTCTTCGTATTTTCAGGGCCTTCCAACCTGAGGGGCTCCTCTTCCGGCACTATTATCAGACACTGTTCCACTACTATTCACAAAGTTTTCACTGGCTAATTCTTCCAGAAGGAGACTGCCAGGTCCTTCTTCCTAGTCTGTCTTAGTCTAGATGCCCAGCTGAAACCTGTCTGCCATGGGTGACCTTGCTGGTATTTGAATACCACTAGCCTAGCTTCCAGCATCACAGCAACACACAGGCCCCCACAATACAACAAACTGACAGACGTGTGGGGGATTATTATTATTACTGTATTATTGGGTTAAAGATGTTTTAGTGTATCTGGAAGGGTTTCTTTAATTTTTTTATGCATAGAAAGGTACACTATATACCATATACTAAGACACACTTTTGACTAACTGATGTTAGATATGAACTGTATCTAATTGTTCCGATTTATGTACAAATTTGACTTAAAGACAGATTTAGGAACGGAACCCGTTCGTAATCTGGGGACTGCCTGTACACAATAATGTATGGTGCTCTGTTAAATACCCGGAGGTAGAAGACTACTTACTTTAACTGAGAGAACTAGGCAGAGAGACAAGAATCCTAGGTTCTACTCTCAGTTCTAAGAAAATATCTCACTAAAAATAACATTTCAAAAATTTGAAATGTGGCAATTTTGCTTAAAGGAATGTTACAAAATATTCATTAACTGCTGCAAGATATTTCTAAGTGGAAGATGTTTTAACTTATTGAATGTAGATAAGATACATACAGTGTAATTTTATATATTTTGGAAATAAAAAGATCTGGAGAAACATAAAAAGCTTAAAAATTAAGAACGATTCTACTGTAAATTGTAAAACTAAAACTATAGAAGTCACACATTTAAAACTGTACTATACCTTGAGTTTGTTTTCCTTCCTTTATTTGCAGAGTGTAGTTTGTTTTGAACCTTGATTACTGGACCAATGTTTTTGGTCTTTGGCTACATGAAAAGAATTTAAACTACTGATTAAATAGATTCTAATCATTGGCCAAGGAAAGCAGTTTTGTAACACACAGAATTGCTATTTTTATGGAATTAATTAAATTGTATTTTGGAGAATCCCAGAATATTACAGCTTGAAGAGACCTAGAGACTGTCAGAACAAGATGTTCTGGGATAAGGAAAATGAAGACCAAAGATTCAAGGGTACTCAGCTAGCTAGTGGAGCATTAAACCTAACATTCTGACTCCCAGAATTTAATTCTCACTATGTGCTAGATTACTCACCAGGCAGGCCTTCCCTGGTGCCCACCTTTACTGTTCCCTTGGCCAGACGCCTGTGGTGGGGAACTTGTAAATCCCAGTTTGCCCAGCCCCTGGAATAGTGACCTCTGCACTGTAAATATTTAAATGAATGAATAAACCTTTGAAGCCATCTTCTTCCTATACGAGTATCTTTCTTTTTCCTGTTTTCTACTACAAGATTTAGAAAACTAAAAAGCCTCAGGCTACAAACTCACTCCACTTAGAACTGTTTTTCCAGTGGTTGGAAATGTATCTCTAAACTGTTCAGTGAAATTGAGACAAAAAGGATTCAATCTGTTTTATGAGCAACATTTCATTAACGCATCCCTTCTGAGTACCAACGTTTATATTCTATTTCTACAGAGTCACACCTCTTCTCTGTTTTGTGAAAGAAAAGTATAAAACATCACCTAACATTCTACAGAATGTAACTGTATTTACAGAAAGTTTGACTTCATACCTCAGTTTCTGAATGTAGATGAATTGTTTCTTCAGATGATAATAGACCTCTACAGACCAAAAAAAACACTATACATTAATGATCAATGACACTGAGCTGAGACACTCTGAAATGCAATAGTAATTATATCTGAAATGGAAAATAGACAACTGTCAAGCAGACTTTGCTATAATTCTAGTTATTCACATGTTAATCTCTTTTGAATGAGTGTCTCAAATAAGTAAAGTGACCTAGTTAAATAATTCAGCTTTGAGAAGAACTATAATGCCAGCGTTTGTGTAGGAAAATACAGCACCGATTTAATGAATGGAAACCATGCAAGGACCGTCCATGTCACAGATGATTCACCAGCAGCGCTTCCCATTGCGCACACTCACTGGTGTCAATCGTCTAACGAACTTAGTCACTTGGTCAACGTCTGTTTTCCCCATTACCCTGTGAGCTCCACGGCGTGAATCCTCATGGGGAGGAATCACTTCTGCCTTGGTGCTGCCCTATGCCTGGCTCTTTGCACAGTACCTAGCATATAATCTTTTAAATTGGTGCTAAATAAATACTTGTTTAACGAATTAATAAATATATCTAAAAATGCAATTCATTTTTATGCACAAAGTTTTCAAAATATGTTTGCAGTTTAACGTAAAGAGTGTTTATGGGGATCTGCAAACTATGGCCTATGGGCTGAACCTACCCACGCTCATTCGTTTCCCTACTGTCTACAGCTATTTGCAGACCACAACAGCAGAGGAAGCAGATGTGACAGAGAAAGTATAGCCCCAAATAAAAAAATATCTACTACCTGGCCCTTTACAGAAAAAGTTTGCCTATCCTTGATCAACTGCCTAGAACATACCAACATACGTAGTAATGTTTCTGAAAACCAAGTTAGTATCTGTTGTTCCCATTAAAAAAAACTTCATCATATCCCCTGAGGACATCTAACCATATTTATTGTTGTTGTTATGTACTGTCAAACTGATTTCCACTCATAGCGACCCGGTGTGACAGACTAGAACCGCCCCATAGGGTTTTCTAGGCTGTAATCTTTACAGGAGCAGATTGCCAGGTCTTTCTCCCACAGAACTTCTGGGTGGGTTCAAATTGCCAACCTTTCGGTCAGCACCAAGCCCTTAACAGCTGTGCCACCAGGGCTCCCTTCTAATTCTAGAGAAGAACATACAAATATAATTACTTTCTATCAGGTACCACCTACTTAGCTAGTCATACATAATTTTTTTTTAATATACTTAAGTAGAAAATCTTGAATACAATCTCTAATCTCTTGAAGAACTACCAGAAATAGCTCTGGGAAGGAAAAAAAAAAAAAAAAGGTTTTCAAACTACCTTAAAAATACTGAGACTAAAGAATCATTAAGGACAACAGACACAACAGCAGCGGAGTCTCCCAATATCGCAACGTCTGTCATTTACTCCGTATTCCTTTTCATTTCTGCTAGCAAACCTGCCAGTTCTTTCCCAGACTCATCTCTTTCTTGTAAAACCTCGTCAAATACAGCCAACAGCGACAGCACACACTACTAGCAGTTCTCCACTTCTTCTCCTAGAGCCACTGGTTCATCAGACACCTGTTCTGCCTCCCAGACAGTTGGATCACAAAGATCCTATACTTCCCTGTTAAATTTATTCCTAAATATTTTGTGAGTCCCTAATCTCTTGACATATTAGAAGTGCATGTGAAATTCAAGAAAAACAAGATCTAATATATATTACCTTTACTAATTCATTTTTTACCTAATCTCCATATACGTTTTAAAGAAAGGTGGTAGGACACGCAAGGACAGGTTAAGCAGTGGCTGGCGCTCAGTGGAGCCACACGCTGTCTCCACGTGCGCAGGCAAGCCGTGCACCTCGCTGAGCTGAGTTTCCTCATCCTTCACATGAGGATGATAATATTTATCTCCAAATAATACTATGAGAATTAAACGAGATAAAGTAGGTAAAGGTCTGCATGGTGCTGACTAAGTCTCCAGTTATTATTATTTTATATATTACATTTCTATTCTTCAAATTATAGATCTCTAAAATGTACATGCAAAAAGATTTTATATAATAAAAGGTCCACATGTCATTTAAAAAAACAAACAAACCAATAGTATTTGAGACTTTCAGTCACTTACCTTGAGCTGTAATCATCCTCATCTTCATACGATTTAATCTGTGAAACAGGCCTGGACCGTACCTCTTGCTGACCTCTCTAGTTAAATGAGGAAACATAAGTGCGATGGGATATAGAAAACTAGTCAATATATAGTCAAGTGCCTTTCTGATCATTAACCATTTCCGAGTTGTCCATGGTTTCTATGGCATAAAGCCACAGAATTCTAAATGCTATGGTGTAATATTACAGTTTTAACCTTTCATTGGCTATGAGCTAAGAAAGTCAATTTTATGGGAAAAATATAAGAGTGTCAATGCCTTTATATGGTTTTGTCTGACTCCTGCTTCCCCACTACATTAGTCTTCCATCTTATATAACATGCAGAGGAAACTGGAAAGACTCTCAAGAAATAAAAAAATAAACCCATTAAAGGGTAGAAAAACTTGTCTCAAAACAGGCAAAGCTTCAGTGAAGAAGCTTTGAGAAGACCATGAAGATGCTAAAAATGAAGCACCAGGGGGAAAGGCTTTTGGGAGAGAGAGATCAGGAAATGAATGATGAGTAAACAAAAACTCAGTGTGGCAAAGGAATAGTCAGCTTCTGCAGGGGCGGGAGTACCCCCTCCTTTCCCGCCCTTTCTCGTGTTCTACTCTGCTCTACTTCGGAAAAAGGTTCTTTTTAGGGTTCCATTCAGGCCGAATACATAATGAATCTCTTGTTCTACTATAATGCTGGATTTCTTTTGTTCAAGTATTTTCTGCTCTTTGGACACTGGCAAAAACTAAAAGATATAATAAAAATATTTATTTTTAATAAAATATTTAATTACAAATTCAACTAGCAAATCTGTAACCATTATCTAAACATATTACTTGAAATGTTACATATGACAAATTTCTTATTCTATACCAACAAATAATTATAGATCTAGAAAAGGCATTAAAATAAAATATTGCCTAGATTTCCTTCCCTGCTCCTATCAACACCATTTTATGTATTTAATTTTTGGAGCTGAAAGGAGGAATTGCAATTAAATTAGGGTAAAAAACAGAAGAAGTTTTAAAGCGGCCCCTTCGCTCCTCTAAGGAGGCGCCAACAGGCCGTCAGTTCACAGTGAGAGCGGGGATGCTCAAGCAGGATGTTGCCCAACTCGGGACCTGGAAGGGGGCGAACACGCTTCGAGACAGCTCTGTGCTGTAACCTCACCACCTATTTCCAGACTATAAACATGACTCTGCTCTACCCTAAGAATTTGAATTAGGTCCATCTGCAGAGTTTAAGAAACAAATTATCATCTGTGTACTAGTGATGACTGTTACTCTTTATTCAACTTTCTTCCAGAGACCGTTTTATTTCTATCCCTACTGAGTTAGTGTTAATTCTACATAGTTACTCTCAAATATTAATCTTAAAGTAATTGGAGGAATTATTAAATGTTGTTGTTAGATGTCCATCAAGTGGATTCCGACCGCCAGGGCTCCTTTATAAAATATTAACGCTGGTATTAGATGAATGGAGCACGTAAACAGAAAACTTTTTCAGTGGCTTTTAGAAAATGTATGCTTACCAAAAACAGAAACATACATATACATATATATCCATGCTGAGTGTGTGATAATTCACTGAGCTGGATATTTATACCTTGGGCACTTCTCTGTATGTATAAACCAAAAACCAGACCCACAGACGTCGAGTCAATTCCGACTCCTAGTGATCTTACGGGACAGAACAGAACTACCCCGTAGAGTTTCCAAGGCTGTAGTCTTTACGGAAGGGAGCTCTAGTGGTGCAGTGGTTAAGAAGTCGGCTGCCGGCGAAGAGGTCAGTGGTTCCAACCCACCAGTGGTTGGCAGCCGAGCGCTTTAACCACTGTGACACCAGGGTGCCTTTTGGTATGTATATTATACATCAAATTAAAAAGTTTAAAAAAATTTAGCATTTACATGAAATTACTAATAATTGTACATTTACTTACTATTACTTCCTCAGCTTGTCGAACCAGGTCAGCTGTTTTTGCCTCCAATTCTGCATTTAAACGCCTAAAGCAGAAAATGATTTAATAACTAGAATATACTGAAGATTCTAACCAAAGTTAAAAGTAATTAAACTTCAGCAACTACAGTTTAATGAGTGATCTAATCAGTAAATACTAAAACATATACATTATATTTTTACTCTGAAATTAACTATTATTCTCCACTCCCCATGGATTCTTCCTTCCTTGTGATAGAAACCTAATTGGTGTAACTCTTGGCCCTTCTCTGGCCCCTGGCTCATTTCAGGCGGAGTGACTTGTCTGACGAATAAATTTGGGAAGAATGAACTGGGTGGGTTCAGCTCAGTTCTACTCTTCATTTTGGGATTAGCCTGCCTGCAGAGAACACAAATTCTAACCTTGCTTCTCCAAAGACAGGCCCTTCCCCCAACTGCAGAGAGAGACGGACAGGCTGGGGCCATTTACTCATCTGGGATATATACGGGACTCTCTCAGAAAGCAAACCTTGCTAAAGATGACCTCATAAACAAAACCAACTACGTAAAGAAAAAAACCACCAAACCATGGGAAAATCAGTGGAGGTAACAAAGGGGAAAATTTGCACCACAAGAATTAGAGATAATAAAACAAGCTAAAGAACATTTTTTAAATATGCATTTTTTAATTTTCAAAAGAAAGAAACTATTAGGCAAGAAACAATATTAAAAAAGAACACAGAATTTGAAAAAGAACCAAATAGAAATTATATAAATGAAAAACACAGTAACTGAAATTAGAAACTCAATGTATATGCTGAACAATAGACTGGACAGAAGTGAGAATGAATGAACTAGACCATCCAAAAAAAAAGACCCAAACCCACTGCCATCAAGTCGATTCCGACTCATAGTAACTCTATGGACAGAGTAGAACTGCCCCATAGGGGTTTCCAAGGCTGTAATCTTTATAGAAGCAGACTGCCACATCTTTCTCCTGCAGAACAGCTGGTGGGTTGGAATGGCCAGTGAGTTCAAACCACAAAACTTTTGGTTAGCAGCCGAGCACTTTAACCACTGTGCCACCAGGGCTCCTTGAATTAGACCATCGATATGATGAAATCATCTATGAAGTGGGAAAGAAAAAGAGATAACAAAACAAAAGGATAAGTTAATACTCATTTAAAACAAACTGTATGACAAACACAGATTTATATCTACCTACTGTCTAATACAAGGAGCACTGGTGGCGCAGTGGTTAAAGTGCTCCACTGCTAACCGAAAAGTCGGTGGTCCGAACCCACCAGCCTCTCCTCAGGACAAAGATGTGACAGTCAGTTCTGTAAAGATTACAGCCTTGGAACCCCTATGGGGCAGTTCTCTCTGTCCTATAGGGTCACTATGAGTCAGAATCAACTCAATGGCAATTGGTATGGGCACAGGTACTGTCTAACAGAAGTTGCAGAAGTAAATCCCATAGAGGAGAAAAAGTCAAAATCTGAAGAGATAATAGCTGAGAATTTTCCAGAACTGAAGACATGGATCCCAAGCAAAATAAAGAAAAAAAAAAAATCCACACCTATACATAGCATAGTGAAACTGCAAAACTTCAAAGACAAAGAAAATACTCTTTAAACTACCAAAGAGATTATCTAAAAGAAAAAAAAAGAAAAAACTCATCTACCAGCGTGGTTACCTAAAAAGCTAACAGCAGATGGCTCATCAACATCTTTAGATTCCAACAGGCAATGAAATGGCATCTTCAGTGGGCTAAAGGCGAAAAAATGGCCATCTAGAACTCTATGTTCAGCTAAACTGTCATTGAAGAATATAAGTGCAAAGTTAACAGAATTTTGAGAACAGATCGAAGAGTATATAAGGCTCAGATTTCACGGAACGAAGTACTTAAGGGTCTACACGTCAGTAATGAGGAAATTGAATCTGGAAAAAAGAATCAATGATGAGGAAAGAAATTAGAAAACGTGATGTAAAATCTACAGTAGTACAGACTATAAAAATAACATTGATGATAAACTGGGGAGGAGAGTTGTTCAAAACAAAGAAGACAAAGCATCATCTAACTTGACAGATAAGGGAAAGCCAAGTTAAAGTATTCTAAAGTCCCTCCAAACTAGTAAAATAAAAAGACATAATGAAAACTCATTCAATCCAACGGAAGACAGGAAAGAACAAAGCAAAACAAAGGCATAGTAAGTAGAAAACACAAAATTAGATGGACAAACAACTTCAAATATTTTGTTGTTATTTTGTTAAGTGCCGTTGAGTCTGTTCCGACTCACAGCGACCCTATGAACAACAGAACGAAACACTGCCCGGTCCTGTGCCATCCTCACAATCGCTGCTGTGTTTGAGCCCATTGTTGCAGACACTGTGTCAACCTATCTCGCTGAGCGTCCTCATCTTTTTCACCGACTCTCTACTTTGCTATTGTTAGGTGCCATCGAGTCACTTCAACTCATAGGGACCCTATGCCCATCCGAACAAAATGCTGCCTGGTCCTGCGCTGTCCTCACAATCCTTGTTATGCTTGAGCCCATTGTTGCAGCACCAACTTTACCAAGCATGATGTCCTTGTCCAGGGACTGGTCCTTCCTGATAACATGTCCAAAGTATGTAAGAAGAAGTCTCGCCATCCTCGCTTCTAAGGAGCATCCTGGCTTTATTTCTTCCAAGACAGATTTGTTGGTTCTCATGGCAGTCCATGGTATATACAATATTCTTTGCCAGCACCATAACTGAAAGGCATCAACTCTTCTTCCATCTTCCTTATTCACTATCGAGCTTTCACATGCATATGATAGGACTGAAAATACCATGGCTTGGGTCAGGTGCACCTTCGTCCACAAAGTGACATCTTTGCTTTCTGGCACTTGAAAGAGGTCTTTTGCAGCAGATTCACCCAATGCAATATGTCGTTTGATTTCTTGACAGCTGCTTCCATGGGCATTGATTGTGGATCTAAGTAAAATGAAATCCTTGACAACTTCAATCTTTTCTCCCTTCAGCATGATGTTGCTTATTGGTCCAGTTATGAGGATTTTTATTTTCTTTATGTTCAGGTGTAATCCATACTGAAGGCTGTAGTCTTTGATCTTCGTCAGTAAGTGCTTCAAGTCCTCTTTGCTTTCAGGAGGCAAGGTTGTGTCATCTGCATATCGCAGGTTGTTAATGAATGAGTCTTCCTCCAATCCTGATGCGGTGTTCCTCTTCATATAGTTCAGCTTCTCAGATTATCTGCTCAGTGTACAGATTGCATAAATACGGTGAGAAGATACAACCCTGACACATACCTTTTTTGATTTTAAACCATGCAGTATTCCCTTGTTCTGTTAGAATGACTGCCTCTTGGTCTATGTACAGGCTTTGTGTGAGCATAATTAAGTGTTCTGAAATTCCCATTCTTTGCAATGTTATCCATAATTTGTTATGATCCACACAGTCGAAATGCCTTTGCATAGTCAATAAAAACACTGGTAAACATCTTTCTGGTATTTTCTGCTTTCAGCCAAGATCCATCTGACAGCAGCAATGATCTCTCTCATTCTACATCCTCTTCTGAATCCGGCTTGAATTTCTGGCAGTTCCCTGTCGATGTACTGCTGTAACTGTTCTTAAATTATCTTCAGTAAAATTTTACTTACGTATGATATTAATGATATTGTTCAATAATTTCCACATTTTGTTGGATCACCTTTCTTTGGAATGGGCACAAATATGGATTTCTTCCAGTTAGTTGGCCAGGCAGCTGTCTCCCAAATTTCTTGGCATAGACAAGTGAGTACTTCCAGTGTTGCATCCATTTGTTAAAACATCTCTTTTGGTATTTCATCAATTCCTGGGGCCTTGTTTTTCACCAATACCTTCAGGGCAGCTTGGACTGCTTCCTTCAATACTATTGATTCTTGATTATATGCCACCTCCTGAAATGGCCGAACATCGACCAATTCTTTTTGGTACAGTGACTCTATGTATTCCTTCCATCTTTATCAAATAGTAATCACAATAAATGTAAATAAATTAAACTCAATTATTATAAGGCAGAAAGTATCAGACTAGGTATAAAAGGAATGCTCTTAAAGCTAAATGACATAAAAAGTTTGAAAATAAAGAGATGAAAAAAGATATAACAGACATTACACAATAATCAGAAATAATTCATTAAGAAGATGTTAATAAATCAAACAATATAGCCTCCAAACAAAAATGATATAATTATGAGATATTAAAAAAAAAACTATAATTACAGTTGATGACTTTAATGTACCTTTAACAGAAACCAACACTGCTAGTAGAAAAATGGTGAGGATATTGATGTTATGAACAACAAAAACAAAATTAACTGGTTTGATTTAATATGTTAGTGAAAAAATAGTAAATATACTTTCTATCAAAGAACACACAAAATATTTACAAAAATTGAACATGTACTTGAATACACAAAAAAACTCAATACATTAAAAAATATCATAGAGTTCCAGCAAAATGGTGCTCTAGGCAGAAGCACCATGCTGTCCCTCCACAGCAAAGATCCAAAAAACTCAGCTGAACAGAGAATACAACAATCCCGAAACCTTAAAACATCAAATGATGAGATAAAGAACTCAGCCAGGCATCAAATGGAGTGAGAAAACTGACAGAGAACGGAGAGCGAGGAGAGATTCACGCAGAGGTCCCCTACCAGCTAACGCAGCGCTGATCCGCCATCTTGGACTCCTATCGGAGACCAGCAAACAGGGGGTACGAGAAAGCAGCCTCACGGAGCGTACAATGGGAGACAAAACAACCGGTAATCTGTGATATACGCTTTCACACCCCACACCCTTCTTTACCCCCACTCAGCCTCCTCTGCTTCCCATGGCCACAATCTCTTGTCCAGGAAACACTGGCTGCTTGGATTCCACACACCTGAACAGGCCGGCTCTCTGAGTGCCATCTGTGGGGCGCTGGTGTTGCTTTTTCCCGCCTCTTTTGATTTCTTCCTTACCTCTCACCACCTCCCCCTCCTTTCGCTCAAATACTGGCTCCGTGTGCCATCTTTGCTTCTTCC